GTTCCCCCGTCATTTAAACACACAAGAAAATATCAACCATGGTTTAACCATGCGCTTATAAAATTAATTAATGAAAAAAATAAGTACCGTAAGAAGTTTAAAGTGTACGATAATTTAAGTGATAAAAATACATTTATCTTATTAAGAGAAAGAGTAAAGAGAATTGAGAAGGATATGTATGGCAAATACATTGGTAATGTTGAAGATAGCTATAGTCATTCTAAAATGTTTTGGTCCTATATTAGAAATAAAAAGAATAATATTTCATATCCTTCTTGTATCTGCTAATTCAGGAGAAGATATTAGTAATCTCTTTGCTCAATATTTTAAATATAACTTCATTCAATATAGTAACTCAACAGTAAACCTAAATAAATTAGCTGCCATAACTTCTAATGATATCTCTTCAATCGAAATTAGTTTTTGTGAAGTTAAAAGGCTGCTAAAATCACTTGACTTAAACAAATCAGCTGGTCCTGACGGGCTTCCGGCTATTTTCCTAACTAAGTGTGCCGAAACTATATCTAAACCTTTATCATTTATTTTCAAAAGATCTATTTCTGAGGGTTCAATGCCTGCAAGATGGAAATCCGTATTTATAGCTCCCATTCATAAAAAAGGTGTTAAAAATCAAATTGAAAAATATTTTTTTTTTATAGAAGGGGCAAACGAGCATGCGGCTCACCTGATGTTAAGTGACTACCGCCGCCCATGATCAACCGCAACACCAGGAGAATTGCGGGTGCGTTGCCGGCCCTTTAGAAAGGAGTAAGCTCTTTTCTTGAAGGTCCCCAGGTCGTATCGGTCCGGAAAAATCGCCGGTGGTAAACTATTCCACAGAGAGGTTGTACGTGGAAGAAAACTCCTTGTGAAACGTACAGTGGTGGACCGCTAAGCATCCAGATGGTGTGGATGGTATCGGGACGTTTGCCGTGTAGTGCGTTCACGAAATTTGGCGGCTGGGATTAATCCGAACAATTCCTCAGAGCACTCCCCATGATAGATGCGATAAAATACGCAAAGAGATGCAACATCTCTTCGCAGCGCCAGTGAATCGAGCCGATCGGAAAGCACTCGGTCGTCGACGATTCGAGCCGCTCTGCACTGGATGCGGTCAAGTGGAAGAAGCTGGTACTGGGGAGCCCCAGCCCAGAGATGGGAACAGTATTCCATGTGCGGCCGAACCTGCGCCTTGTAAAGTTGCAGGCGGTGTGCCGGCATGAAATACTGTCCCGCTCTGCTGAGCACGCCAAGCTTTTTAGAGGCCAATTTGGCCTTCCCTTCCAAGTGACCACGAAACTGCACGTCACTCGATATGTCGACGCCGAGGATTCCGATACTGGCTGAGGCAACAAGGGGAGTGCCTTGAAACTGAGGGGATACGACAAAGGGGTTCTTTTTAGCGGTTAACGCGCAAACTTGTGTCTTCTGGGGGTTAAACTGGACTAGATTTAGTCACCCCCAATCCGAGACTCTGTCCAGCAGACACTCGACTTCAGACACAAGTTTGTCCCGGCACTCGGAGACGTTTTCCCGAGAAATATTGGCTCGGCCGGTGTAAAGAGCATCACCAGTGCTGTCATCTGCATAGCAATGAATGTTACGGGTATGCAACATGTCATTGATATGCAGAAGAAACAGCGTTGGCGATAGCACGCAGCCCTGTGGAACACCAGCATTAATAGGCTTGCAATCGGAGCTTGCACCGTCTACAACGACCTTGATGCTCCGATCTGCAAGAAAGCTGGTGATCCAATCGCACAATTTCTCGGGAAGCCCATAGGAAGGGAGCTTCGAAAGAAGCGCTTTGTGCCAAACCCGATCGAAGGCCTTCGCAATGTCCAAACTAACGGCCAATGCCTCCCCCTTGAACTCTACTGCCTCCGCCCATCTGTGAGTTAGGTAGACCAGAAGATCACCAGCTGACCGACCACGGCGAAAACCGTATTGGCGGTCACTAATCAGCTGGTGATCTTCAAGGTACCTCATGAGCTGGCAGTTTACAATGGACTCCATTGTTTTGGAGAACAAGGAGGTGATGGCGATTGGCCGGTAGTTGGACGGGTCAGAGCGGTCACCTTTTTTAGGGATCGGGTGGACGTAAGCCGTCTTCCATGATTTTGGGACTACGCCTAGGGAGTAGGAGTACCGGAAAAGACGCGTTAAAACCGGTGCCAACTCTGGAGCACACGTCCTCAGCACAATTGGGGGGATTCCGTCAGGCCCACTCGACTTGTGGATGTCCAGGGAGAGGAGTGCTTTGCGAACCGAGCGCTGTGTGAAGTGCACTTCCGGCATGGAGCACTCACACCGCGGGATGGTCGGCGGAGTACTCCCCCCGTCATCGAGAGTCGAGTTAGACGCAAAGAAAGAGCCTAGAAGATCGGCTTTCTCCTTTGCAGTATGGGCCAGTGAGTCGTCCTCCCTGTGCAGAGTTGGAAGAGATGGCTGACAGAAATTCCCCTGGACAGCCTTGGCGAGAGACCAGAATGCACGGGTTCCAGAAGGAAGGCGAACTAGTTTCTCGCCAATTCTGCCTATGTGCTCTGACTTTGCCTTGGCAATGACTCTTTTGAAGGACCTAGAGGCGGAATTATACTTCTTTTTTAGAGCGCTGGTGTTTACATCCCGGGACGCTGATGCATCAGCCCAGGCTTGGTAGCACTCCTGCTTATAGCATGATGCTATTTTACAGGAGCGACCAAACCATGGCTGAGACTTGCCTCCAATGGGCACCACAGAGGAAGGAATAAAAAGTTCCATACCCTGAAGTACCACATTAGCAACAGAATCCGCAACAACGTTGGGATCATCCAGCGAGAAGCAAATCCGCCCCCAAGGGTAGGATGCAAAGAAAGACCGCATCCCATCCCAATCGGCTGACCTATAGTGCCAAACACGGCGGCAGCCTGCAGAATGCAACCGCGATTTCAGCGTGAGTGGCACCACACTCCGGACCAGACAATGATCCGAGGAGCCTAAAGGGGCGTCGACGGAAATCTGATATCCGTCCGGGTGAGAGGTCAGCAGAAGGTCCAACAGGGAAGGTGCATGATCCTCCACATCTGGAATCCGCGTAGGCGAAGTAACCAGTTGTGTCAGACCATATGCCAAGGCAAAATCATGAACAGATCTCCCCGCATGATCGGTTAAACGTGAACCAAGCCATTCGGCGTGATGGGCGTTAAAGTCGCCGAGGATCACGATCTCTGCGGAGGGGATCTGGTGTAGCAACGAATCTGCAGCCATTTGGACGTGGTCGAATAGTCGGTCTGTTTCGGCATTACCGCTATGGGGTGTCGCGCGGATGGTCGTCGCTGTCTACGCGTAGCCAAAGGATGGACAGGTCCGAACCTTCAAGTCTGCCGAGGCGCCGAGAGCAGATGTCCTCTCTGACGTAAACGCAAACTCCAGCCCGAGGCACAAAGGAGTGTTCCAGTTTGTACCCCGGGTAGGAGAGATACGAGACATCAGCCGGAGAGGACACCAGCGTCTCGGTGGTCTTTGTCATATTTATCAATGATATTGCTGAATGCTTCCAGAACTCCGAGTTTTTGCTTTTCGCGGATGACATGAAAGTTTTTAGAGTAGTCAACAACTCTTATGATTCTAATCTCCTACAAAACGATCTTATTAACTTAGATAATTATTGTATCCGTAACAAATTAGACTTGAATGTTTCGAAGTGTAATACTATGTCTTTCGGGCGGAAGCGTGATATGCTTTATTTTTCTTACACACTTAAAGGTTTGACGGTTACTAGATGTGATAAAATAAGGGACCTTGGAGTTACTATTGATACTAAGCTTTTGTTTGATCAGCATGTGGAAGATATCGTTAATAAAGCATATAAGGCTCTGGGTTTTATTTTAAGGTCTTGTTGCAAATTCCGTCAGTTAAAATCAATGAAAATATTGTTTTGTTCTCTTGTTCGTAGCCATCTCGAATATGCGTGTCAAGTATGGAATCCTCAATATAAAATATATATTAAAAAAACGAAGCGATTCAAAAAAAAATCATTCGATATGTAGGTTCTAAATTTCATATATCCAAAAGAGGCTACGAATTGCAGTGTTCTCATCTTCATCTCCTCCCGCTGCAAACTAGGCGCTATACAGCTGACCTGGTCTTGCTAAGTAAAATTGCTCAAGATCGTTTAGACTGCCCTGACTTATTAAAAAGATTACATATCTCAGTTCCCTCTCGTTCACTGCGCTATTACAATCCCTTACATGTTTCTTTATGTAGATCAAATTACAGGCGAAACTCATTCTTCTTAAGAGCATGTAACTCATTTAATAAATTTTCTAAGGACTGTGATAAGGCTGACCTCTTTTCTACTAGTGGTACTACTATCTGCAAATTGACTTGACTGATTGATTGATACTATCTGAATTCAGTAGCAATTTACTCTTGAACTCTTAAATCTAATCAAAATCAATGTATAAATTATATCAACTTATATATGTTGCATGTATTTACCCAAACCGATTACTCATCTGTGAAAACTTTTAATAGGCTTACTTTGTAAATTATATTATATACCATATAGTATTAATTAAAAGCTGTATGATTTCCTGTTATAAATAAATAAATAAATAAAAAAGTAAGTATATAAGAAATCATACATGTAAGTATATAAGTTGGCATATAAGCAAGTATCTAAGCATGTATATAAGCAAGTATTTAAGCAAGTATATAAGCAAGTATATAAGCAATTATATAAGTAAGTATATAGCAAGTATATAAGTAAGTATATAAGCAAGCGTATAAGCAGATATTTAAGTAGGTTTATATGTAAGTATATAAGCAAGTATATAAGTAAGTATATAAGTTACACAGTTGGTCGGTAGACGGTAAACGCAACAAACGTATGCATTGCGCTGTTGCCATTCGATCGCTATTGTTTTTGTAGTCAGAGTTTCTCAAACTATATCTTATCCAACATGTTTATGTGTCACCGGTGTAATAGTGAAGCCAGGGATGGTGTGCAGTGTACGATGTGCCTCAACCGTTTCGATTTCCCATGTGCAGGAATAACAGAGCCAGGATATCGCAAACTTGGGGACAGAAAGGCTACTTGGAAATGCAATACCTGTAAGACAGGAACTGCGAGTCCTAATCTTTCTTCTAGAAAACAGTACAAGGAAGGGTATCATCTCATGGTGATCTGGAGAATATTCGTCTTGAGCTTAGTAAGATTACCAAACAAATATCGTCATTACCACAGTTAATTGCAAGTGTCAAGACTATCCAGGCTGACCTTTCAGATCTTAAGGCTATGAAGAGTGAAATGATGGACGTTAAAAACTCCTTGAACCATGTGCATACTTCGGTTGAGGGACTCACTAACAAACTGACCGAGATCGATCGGGAAATTCAGTCTCTTCAAAAAACGAAAGATGATGTTGTACGTGTTGAACATCGATTGGATAAGCTTGAGGCCGCTGTACGCGAAAATCAGCAAAGATCGCGCCTGAACAACATTGAGATCAAAGGCGTTCCTGTAACCTCGTCTGAAAATCTCTTTACTATTATTTCCAATATTGGTAGTAAAATAGGTTACGAAGTTCCTAAGGAGCAAATCAACTACGTCGCAAGAGTACCTCAGCGTAATAATAAAAACACCAAAAACATCATTGTGTCACTTCACATCCGTTACCTGAGAGATAATTTTATAGCTGCTGCTATAAAATGTAAAACTTTAACTGCTGCGGATTTAGGATTGAGAAGTGATAGCAGGAGTTTCATCAATGACCACCTTACGTTTGAGAATAAACAGCTACTTAATAAGGCAAAAGCTCTTGCTAGGGAGAAATTTTTTTCTTATACATGGGTAAAAAACTGTACAATTCTAATGAAAAAGAATGCTACATCTCCTAAATATGCAATAAAAACGGAAGCAGATTTAAAGAAGATATTCTGAATATAAATTTGTTCATTTCTATATCAATTTGTGAAACAAGTTTGAGAAACACTGGTACGTTAAGTTTATTCTATTTACTTATTTTATCACTGACGGTACACGTTGTTGTTCTGTTGTCGCTTGGTTTAATAGCTGCTCGGTGCATTTTTTATTTGTACCTTACCTTACACCTTATGTGATATTAATTAAGATAACGCTTAGTTTGACAAATCTTAAATTAATTCCTGCGGTATTTACTGTTGTATAAATAATCAATATTTCTTAGTTGATATTTATACTACACATTATGCATATTATTTCTTTAATGATTACTACAATTTGAACAAATTGGCGCTGTTATTTGCTGTAGTTAAACACATCCATATACTTTTTATTAATATTATCCACTGACCTCTATATATACAAGTACACTGGACTGGCTATACCATACAAAATGACTGTGCCAATTTGAAGCGCCGCTAAATGATGTCTTGAAAAATAAAATTGATATAATATGCCAAAGTCTGTTTTATTTATATTGTCTTATTTCATAAGTCTGTATTTTGAACTTTTAAACTAAAAAACGAAAGTATTTTGTTGTTTGATTGTGTATAATATTAGTTACATAATAAGAATTATTTTTATTAATAATGAGAGTGTGCTTAATCTGTAAAACTCGTTACCAAAAGCGAAGTGGTATAACATTTCACAAGTAGGTGAATTTGCAGCAAATATTAAAGAAATTAAAACTATTTGATAATATAAGTACTTAAAAAATTGTTACTAATCTTAATATCATATATACCAACATGTTTGGGTGTATATTACTGAGTTTTGATAAACAATAAAATTCAATAGGGTTGTCGAGTTCCTTGTCTATAATACTTATCGATGTTCTTTCCTACTCATATCTGTTAACATACAAAATTGCCAACAACGGATGATTATCAAATGTTTATTTAATTAACAGGTTTCCAACTGAACCTAGACTAAAATTATGGCTTAAAGGCATAAATATTGTGAATTGGCGTCCGAAACAAAATGATCATATTTGTTCCAAACATTTTACAGACGACTGTTTTATTAGACATGAGAACTGCACCACTTTGAAAAAGTGCAGTATACTGACAATATTTTCTGATACCAGTACCAGTAAGTATAAAAGTATTAGATTATTATTTCGAATGTTTTTTTTATTTCTTCTTTCCTCATTTTCTACCAAACTCAAGGGCCATAACCAAGTGTCGAAAGATCGCCCGATGATGTCGAGCCACGTTGTATGTGTGTTAGAGGGCTGCGGCTAGAGGTTATTCCTCTCCCTGGACCGCTGTAGTCGAGGTGGAGTCGTAAGGGAAGAGGAGTGTTGGTATGACGATTGGCGATGCGCCACTCGACTATCTCTCGCGACTTTGGTGAGGCTGCACCACTTGCTGCTTCCAAGTGCTCGTTTTTTCCTGGCTCCATTCACTTATCGGGCTCGGGGAGTCCGTAGTGCAGCTCGTATCTCTATAAATGTTTCCTCGGTTTAAGATCTTTGTAGAATATTTAGAGACGATACCAGGAGACCCGACGGTATGGGTTTAGTTGCTTGAAAGAGAGAGATAAAGCTTTAGTGTGAGATACTACTTGCGAACACTTTGACAGCATCCCATCTCAGAGGTACCTCGTCCAAAGCAGGTGTGGCATTAGAGGAAACTGAACCAAGTAGTAAGTAGCCCAGAGTATCTGGAAGATAAGTACATATTTGTGCAATTTGCTGTAGAGACTATTGGTCCGTAGGGTGCACGTGCGGTGTAGTTCCTAAAAAACTGCATCTGTGACCGATGTTGTTGTTTAGTAAATATATAACTTTCTATAAATTTCAAATAAATAGTCGGTATAATACGCATGCCACCTAGTATCAGTTGTACCATGCGTTTAACCTTCGCACAAGTGCAACCAATAAGTTGACTGAGTTTGACCGCAATCTGATAAACGGTATGGCATCGTAGAAAGTACGAACAAACATAAATTTATATAGTAGAAAATATTTTACTGTCCATAGACAGACCTGTAGATGATTAGAATAGGCGTTATTATAGCAGCTGATTTGTTTTTTATAATACTAGAACTAAATGAACGGTTGACAATAAGTTATTCTAGAAATTATGTTTTTATTTTTATTTTCTGTAGTTCGTTTAATCTTAATAATTTTTTGGTTGACTGGTTAAGGGCTATGATGGCTATCCGAGTACAGAACCAGAGTACAAAATTAATCCAACTGTAGAGAGGTGTAAGACGACGGATGACGTTATATCCCCGAAACTCTTCACCGCTGCATTGGAAGACGTTTTCAAGCTACTGGACTGGAAAGGATACGGTATTAACATCAATGGCAAGTATATCACTCACCTTCGATTTGCCTAATATAGTCCTTATGGCAGAATCGTTGGAGGACTTAAGCAATATGCTCAATGACCTCAATAGTGCCTCCCAATGGATGGGTCTTAAGATGAACATGGACAAAACAAAGATCATGTTTAATGTCCATGTCACACCTATGCCCGTAGTTGTTGGGAGCACTAAGCTCGAAGTTGTTGACGAGTACGTTTACCTGGGTCAAATAGTCCGATTAGGAATGTCCAACTTCGTCCGAGAGGTCAATCGACGGATTCAACTCCGCTGGGGAGCGTTCGAGAAATTACGACACATCTTCTCGTCAGGCCTATGTTCAGCAGTGGACTTGTGAAGACTTTTAATGATGATGAATGATAATGGCATTATATTAATGTGATACATAAATAGAATGAACGTTACGGGTAGAGTCCATCTATCCATAGAGTCTATTCTATTTATTTAGGTATAGGTAGGGTATAGAATTTTTATCGATATAATTTGGTACACTGTCTTATCCCTATTATTAGTTCCGTGGACGTGCACTTCTGCTGTCAGCGCCAAAATAGCGGAAATCAAATCGCTTCAGCATGTTACGGTGTATAGCCAGTCCAGCGTACTTGTATATATAGAGGTCAGTGATATTATCTATTTGTACCTTACACCTTATGTGATATTAATTAAAATAGCGCTTAATTTGACAAATCTTAAATTATTTCTTGCGGTATTTTACTGTTGTATAAATTATCAATATTTTTTCGTTAATATTTATATTACACATTATGCATCTTATTTCTTTAATGATTGCTACAATTTGAACAAATTGGCGCTGTTATTTGCTGTAGTTAAACACATCCATATACTTTTTATTAATATTATTTATTTACCACCGCACTTTAGGTGCGTATTCGCACTTCTTTTTATGTTATAGTATGTCATTTTCAGCGCTATTTCTGTGTTTTTGTATGATTTTAATGATGGCTGTTGAAATTTTCTATCAAAATGTACCTGGTCTGCGAACAAAGGCATCAAATTTTCTGAGAAATGTATGTATTAACAATTATGATGTTATATGCTTGACGGAGACGTGGCTTAACGATGACTTTTGTAATAACGAGCTCTTTGATGACCGTTATGTTGTTTGGAGACGTGATAGAAACTATAATGTTACAAATCAAACGTTAGGAGGTGGTGTGCTTATTGCTGTTAGGCGTTGATCTTGCAGTGGAGGAGCGGGTTGACTGGCGTTCCTCTGCCGAAGACATATGGGTATCGTTAACTCTTCGGCGTTCCAAACCGAAAACGACATATAAACTGCATATTTGTACGATTTACTTATGCAGACAAAATCTGGGTGACTCTTTATCTGCACAGTTAGCTTGTTTTTATACAAAATTATACGACATAGTAACGACCAATCTAACTGATGCTTTCGTTATTTTGGGAGCTTGGGGTTCGTGGAACGACCCGACCTCTAGTGCCTGAAGATCCTCATCATGTGGCTCTTAATGTTCTAGTGGATTTTGTCGAGTACCACACTTTACTATTCCAACCAAGGACTAAGTTTATGTACCATTTATCTGATTTCTCCTCTATGTCACGAGAGCTTGATAATTTTACATGGTCTCACGATCTTTTTAAGGGCACAGTGGACGATGCATTGTCACTATTATACACTCGATTAAACAACTTGTGCGGCACTTATATACCAACAAAAGTAGTAAAATCTTCTTCTAAATATCCCCCCTGGTATAAAACCCCTCTTATAAAAATTTTAAAGGAAAAGTTTAAATATCATACCAAATATAAAAAATATGGCAATTTGTCAGATCATGAGTCTTTTCTAGTATTACGTAATCGTGCCAAACAACTAGAATCCGAAATGTTCAACAATCATATAGCAAAGATAGAACTCAGCATAAATAAATCGCCAAGGACCTTCTGGTCCTTCGTGAAATATAAAAAAGCGTCATACGCTTGTCCATCTATAATGAAGTATGGACACATATCATCAGGGCAAGGGGATATTATTTGTAATATGTTTAGCGATTTTTTTATGGTAATTTTCACGATATTCGCAGTAACTTTAACACCCGATATGAGCCCGATAATTGGCGGTCACATACTGTGTCGGGTATAAACTCGATAGAAGTTTGCGAAACTGAAGTCTTTAAGCTTTTAAATTCTATTGACCTTAATAAATCTGCAGGCCCAGATGGTATACCACCCATTCTTATAAGTAAGTGTGCTAAAAGCTTGACTATACCGTCAACAATAATATACAGACGTTCTCTTAAGGAAGGAATAGTACCTCTTATTTGGAAATCTGTATTTATTACCCCCATCCATAAAAATGGTCCAAAGGACCGTGTAGAAAACTATAGACCAATATCCAAGCTTTGTTTATTCAACAAAATGTTTGAGAAAATCGTATATTCGTCTGTATATCATGGCATCAAACAAACACTCAGTGATTATCAACACGGCTTTTTAAAAGGTAGATCCACTGTTTCGAACCTTATTGTCTGTTCTGACTATTTAACTAACATCATGTCTGAGCGCTTACAAGTTGACGTAGTCTACACTGATTATAGTAAGGTGTTTGACCGCTTAGATCACGTTATACTTCTTAGCAAACTACTCGAGGT